TCTGTGCTTTAACAAAAATTTACATAGATTTTAGGTGATTTAAAATGTGGTCACAATTTTTTTTTTAAAGCGATAATATAACATTTATGGAGAAGGAAAATAAAAAAGTTTCCATAAAACAATAAATAAGCTATATATAGCGCCAGAAGCTTCAGAATTGGGATAATATATAAGCCAACAAATATATAGATATATATATTTATAATGGCTTCAATAAAAATCTGGATTAGAAAATCTATAAATATTTCACGAAGCTTCGTGTGTGCTAGACGAAACGAAAAGTCGATCAAAAAACTGGCAACGTGCGCAATAACCATTAAAAAAATATATCGATAACAAATTTTGTAATAATTTCGATAAAAATCTAGATAAATCTATTGATAAATTCATATGTCGACAGATGCTTCAAGATAGGCACAACAAAGAAACCGATAATAATAATAGATAAAGAAATCTATAGGATTTTCAATAAAAAGTATACATAAAAAAATCGATAAATATTTCACAATTTCTCCTGCGTTTTAAGCATCATCGTATTCTATGTTTAAGAAAAAAAAGTATGAAACATCTTTAAAGCGATAAAAATATCGACAACCATTGCATAATAAAGTTTACTGTAAAATCAAAGCAAATACATATATCGAAAAAAGATATTAAATAAAAAATATCGATAAATGCATTGATAAGTATTTCAAAAACAACATGTTGCTTTATAAAACGATATAAAATAAAGTAATTGTTATGATTTCTTTAAAAAATCGGGTTAAAAGTATCGGTACAAAAATACGCAATTAGTAAGCTGATAAAAATATCAATAAATATATCTTAAGCGATTTCGATAAAAATATCGATAATAATTGAGTAAATTTTAGTGTGTACATACTACGTTTTATTACATAAATATCCTTTACAAATCTGCAGCGGAAGCAGGGCAAGTATACGCCTTTCTCAAAAAAAAACCCGGAATGTACAATAATTTGCCGCGGATTTAGAGAATATTAATTTTCAGATTTTTCTCGCCACCCACTCATACCTGAACTCTCCTTTTCTAATAATCCCTGCTTTCTTGTGTATTTACTGTAGCACCAGTCTAGAACAAAGCAACTGACGGCTGTTTGCAACATTGCGTTGCTTACTTTTTTACGCTGATTACCTATTACTTACATATGTATATCGCTTCTTAAGCCATATGGGCTGCTATGGTGTAAATTATGTGCATTTCTCTTGAAATTTAATCTCATAAATATTCTTTCACATTCTGTTTAATTTTCATAACATTTACCTTTTCCGCGTAAAATAATAATTCAGTTGTCATAATAAACAAGGATAATGCATGATTTGACTTTGTGGAAAATGAAGCCATATATATATATATATATATATCGCCACCTTAATCGCAGAGGCTCTTTCAAATTTTTAGCGAAGGTGTATTTTAATAAATTCTACCAGAATCTGTGAAAAACACAGTTTCTTCTTAAATTTTTTACGTCTGAAGTAGGGCTTGATTGCATGAAATTTAAATTGCTGTACAGAGATGATGTTTATTCTTATTCTAATTTCGTACAAACGTCAAAAAATTACATAAATATGTATCGAAAATATTACCGTCTCATTGCCCTCTTCGCTCAAAAACTAAGGAGAGGGCAACGAAAGGCAATATTTTTTGTAGAATAGAAAACGCTATTAGTAATTTCTTCCTATTTGCATGCTTCCTGCAGTTTTCTTAGGTTTCCTGCTTTTTGTTCCTGATTCTCTTCCTTTTAGACCACTTTTATTTTATTTTTTGATGTTACATTTCTCTCTTCTCAACCTCCATTTGGCATGCAACATTGCACACAGAACTACTGCATGCCAGCACGATTTATGAATGTCGCATGAAAGCGAAATAATGCAGCATACTAAAAAACGGGAATGTGGGAATACATGTATGTTTGCAAAAAGGTGTGTATTGTATGTTTCTAGAAATTTTTTATAGCTTTAATGGCTGCTTTTGTTCTGAAGTATTACGCTACTGCTAGTAGATGAGAAGCATTGATATGACTACATATATATTTACTGTGCGATGGATTGCAGCGAAGTAAGAAATTTATACGAATTCTCCAAGGCAAAATATAAAGAAATTAAGTATTGGGTTAGTACATTTCAGAGACATGGTATTTAACAGAAGGACACACTTAGACAACAAAAATTGAGAAGAAGTGAGAAAAATGCTATAGCCGCTGTACTAGTGGGAATAATCAGCACTCGATGAACTATTTAGTAATGGAAGAGAAACGGTGAATGTGAGACATTTTCATACAAATTTACAATTTTTCAATTCGATTTCTTAGAAAAATTTTGAATATGCAGTTTTGTAGCCGTGTAAAGTTGAATTTAAAGTTAGTAAAATTTAGCGTTGATTTTCGAGATTTTTTTGCCGAGTTTTGTACGAAATAAAAAAAAAATTATTCTTTTGGTTTTTGCTGCACTCGCTGAACTATTTGTAAGCGCAGAAAATGTTTAGTCAACGGAATTGAACGGGAAAATGCAAGAAATTTTCATCGAAATTTAAAATTTTCCAATTCGATTTATCAGAAAAATTTCGAGTGTGGAATTTTGTAACCGATTAAATTTTAATATCAAGTCGCTAAAATTTAGCGTTGATTTTTAAGATTTTTTGAAGAGGGTGTTTTTTCATTTTGACGAGTTTTGTACGAAATTACAAAAAATTAATTCCGTTGGTTTTTGCTGCACACGGTGAACTATTTATACGCGCAAAAGATGTTTCGACAACGGAATTGAACGGGGGAATGCAAGAAATTTTCATCAAAATTAAAAGTTTTTCAATTCGATTTCTTAGAATAATTTTGAATATGCAGTTTTTTAGCCGAGTAAATTTTAATTTAAAGGCGCTAAAATTTATCGTTGATTTTTCAGATTTTTTTCCGAAGGGTGAAAGATGGAAGAAATCAAATTGAAAAATTTAAAAATTTCGATAGTAATTACTCGCTACTTCTTTTTTTTCGAGTTCTGTATGATTAAACTATATTTTTAATATAAAATATGAAAAAAATTTGGTATGAAAAATTTAAATAAATTAAATTTTTTACGCTCACTGTACATATGTAAATGTGCTTGATTTCACCCATATATTGGCACAAAAATTACACTTTCTCTAACATTGCATTTTAATTTCAGTGGTTACCCATTTTTGCGCTTACTATCTGCTATGAATTACTTTATTTAACTTGTAGGATCTCATTTTCTTTTCAATTTCAATTTCACTTCCATATTTTGCATTTATGTTTACATTCAAATGCGTTATTTTAGAGTTGCATGATAAAGTTTGCTTTACACTCCCACACATTTTGTTAACCAAAAGGAAAACGCAAATAAAAACAATGAATACAATTTCGAGAAGCATACTTTATGGCGCGCGCCGCATGGTCGATAAAACGAAATGCGGGAATTACCTTTGGTTGTATTGCTACAACAATGGGTCTACCAACATAAATGTGTATATGCCTATGCAGTATCTTTCTCTCTCTCTCTCTCTCTCCCCGTTTATCAATTTCGTAGCGAAGGTATGCTGTGTTATAAAAAACTGCCAATTTTGTAGCTTAAATTTATCTCCTTTTCAGAGTTTCATTCGTTATAATTCGAACATCTTTTCGTTTTCATGATAAATTGTTCTTACATATTTATTAATATTTCCTTTAATTTCGCAGCGCAGTAAAGCGTTTATATTTTTTGTTTGAAAATACTTTGGAATTGCGGATGCGCGATACGATTTTTTTATGAAGATTTTTTATGCGGGTTTCATTGAAATTTCATGCCGACTAAAGAAAGGTGTGGTGATTGCAAGTAGTATTTCAAGTATTTATTAGTATATAAAATAACAACGGTCTGCCTTTATTACATATGCTATTTACTTGCATTCCGTTTTACTTTACATTCGTTACTTTGTTTCTTAGCCTTTCGGTAGTAGGTGCGAAAAACCTTAGTTGAATGAAATAAAGTATTCATAAATTTTTTTATGTTCATTTACTGAGCTGCCTGTATTTTAGATTTCCTTAGTGTTGTTTAAGCGTAGCGTTTGAGGCTATATGTTCACCTTTTTATCATTTTCACACACGGCGCCCACAATTATATTAAAGCTTCATCAAAGCAGCTCTTAGAGAATAAATTTTTATCAACTTTCTATTAAGATGCAATCTTTAAATCAAAATACTTTTTGAAATAGAATACGCAAGGCGTCATAAATTTGAAAACTTATGAAATTTTAGTATAGAAAATTGCATGCTTGAAGTTTGAGAACTCGCGTTGATTTTTGCCGCCGTCTTTTGCGGCTTGTTTCATATAGCAAGTGCAATTTATAAAAAACTGGTGTTGATTTTTCAAAATTGTTTTTGCAAACGTTCTTGCGAATTTTCTTTTATAATAAAATTAGGTTAACGTGATAACCAGGCAGATGTGAACAGCCACATTGCGAATACTTATTAAAAAAAAAAATTAACAAGTGAACGCTGTTTTGAGCCACTGTATGCCGGAACTTGCATATTTAGCTACTTTCATCTTTGTAAAATTACAACCCAAATGAATACCGAAGAATATTATATTTTGTTCATTAACCAATCACACAAATGACCAACAAACTATGTGCACCCTGGCGTATGAGTAACATTTATATGCTTAACCTAATTAATTTTATGTAACATAAAAGCATTAGAATGCTAGTTAAAATGCAATGTAAATTAACTCGGCAAAGCATCTAGAAAAACTTGTAACCGCAAAATTTAATTGCTATTAACTAAAGCAGCATAAAGCTCACACTCAGTCCCCCATAAATCCCGAAAAAAAAACTCAAGTATTTATGTAATCGAACTCCAACACTTATAAACCAGTTAATATGCGTTCCAGTATTGACAAATTTTGGCGATATCTTTGAAATGGATAATTAAGTAATCAAATTCAACCCATCTTTGTACACAAATATACATATTTGATATTTTATTACTCACCTGCGTTTTCTTAACGCTCTGCGCTTCCTTCTCAACTTTTTATATGTAAATGTGCTCGGCGAAATTGTGTAATCCTCATCGAATTCCATTTCGATTTTGATTAGATTTTGTAAATTTAACTGGCAGTCCTAAAAAAAAAAAATAAAATCATATACATACTTACATTTTTTATAAAGAAATTGATAACGAAATTCTTTGTCAATTTTATTAAACAGCCACTGCTGTATTTACTTATTTCATTTATTTTGTGGAAGAACATCAAATCGTATTGACTTAAAATCAGTGACATTTATAACTAAAACCGGATAACGTTTAATACTTCATGGCGAAACTCATACTCAATAAATTTCGCAATTTAAAAGCGGATTTTATGCGATTGGAAACTAGTTTTATGCATGTATTTACATTATGGTGGTCCGTAATTGGCTTTCCAGTCACTCCTAGAACTCTAGAAATAACTTATATTATTTTGAAGTAGGTTGACATTTAGTGATGCCGCCAAAGCTTTGAAATTACCCATATATCTCGGCTCGAAACTGCATACTAAAAAAAAAATCTGAAAAATTTGCAATTTTACAATTTAATAAATGAGCACTTAAAAGATTTCCTAGTTAACTCTTGACAATAATCTTAAATTCCTCGTTCGAAAATCCAGAAGAAAAGATCAAAAAAATCACACTTTTTTTGGAGCTAGCTAGCCTAGTTAATTTTTTTTCGAGTGTTGATTTTTGAACAAATTTGTTTTTGAGTTTTATATAATGATTATATATTGGCATAGTTTTTTCTTTGGTGGCCATTATGTCAGCTTTCGAACACATATTTTCATTTTACGCCTATCGAGAGATTTACGATTGCTTTCATCGACACTCCCAAATCATACACTGTGCGCCGGCAAGCATCATTAAATTTCAAAAAAAAAAAAAAAAAAATACACGTTTCTTTTTCCTTTTTTAATAATTCTTCGCGGTTCCAATTTTTAGAGTTGTTATGATTAATTTTAAGTTTATCTCAAAAAATTTTTATAATGGGTAAAATTTACAGCTCAATACAAATCAGAAATTATGAACAACCCTTATAGATACACTTGGGTGTTTGCTTGTTTCACTCAGCACATGAGGTGTAGAGATAGAGAGCGCAATCGATTTTATGTCAGCCTAAAAGCACAAGTGCGCTAAAACAACAAATCAAACAAATGCTGCAACAACAGCAACATCAAAAACAACATTATCGTCGCTAACTAACATAATCGAAGTCAGCCCAACTCCATCCGCAAACCAGAGACCACACAAAAACCAGCTTTGATGATGCTGCTTGTATTGTTGCTGATTTTGCTGATTTATGCGCGAACAAGTATAGATGTGTATAAATCTTTACGAATACAAATTCACGCGCCAACTCATACATATACATGTACGTAAATATGTAGTTACGCTCATGCATACATAAACTGATAGCCTTTCTATTCACTGTGTGAATTTGTGGCATGACCTCGTCAATTTCTATCTGTGCGTGTATATGCGTGCGTGCGTACATGTGTGCTTATGTTTGAGGTTGTTGCGTTTATTCAGCGACCTATACATTATTGCATTTCTAATTTCGCCACACAGCCTTTGAAGTCAGTCTTTTGAAAATGTTGAAATGAAAATGCGATTTCAGCAGAAATAGAGAGCGTTGGCGGAAGTCAGTAGGGGGAATTGTGGTAATTCAACTAAAGCTAGTGGGTATCAGTCAATGGTGTGTGCACTACGCGTGAGTGTAGAGTGTTGCATATGTTGTGGGTATTAGATTAAATTTTAATTATTATTATGATCGAAATTCGCAGATATTGACTGAAATTTTATTGACCTAAATATTTTAGCCATTGCGGATGGATTAGTATGGAATTTGTTGTCAAGTTTGGCATGTCGTATGAGTAATCTAGGTAAATTATGTAGTTTGATTGATGGCGAAACTTTGTGAAAATTCCACAACTGAATTTTTATGTTAAATTACATGTATATTTTAGTCAAACGAACGTTTAAGATCTCAAATTAAGCATACATAAAATTTTCAATAATTTTAACTGCACATAAATTTTTTGTTATTTGAAAACAAGACATAAATTTTTGGTGCGTTGCAATCTGTTTACAGAAAATTTTTGGCCTTTTGTCAAAACTGAACATAAATTTTTGGTCTTTTAAAAAAAGGACATAAATTTCTGGTAACATAAAAAAAGAAAAAAATTGTATTTCATTTCAAAACTGGTTATAAATTATCCATTTGATAAATGTGTAAAAATTTGTGTGTCTAAACAGGACATAAATTTCTTATTGATCATTAATTTTTGGTAATGAAAAATTATTCTTAATTTTTTGGAATTTAAAAAACTCGTTTTTTTTTTAATTTTTGGTACGTTAATACTGGACGGTAATCTATGGGATTTAAGAAATTATATAATTTTAGTATTTCACAACCATAACATAATTTTTTGATAAGTCAACATAATTTTTTAGAAATATTAAAATTGGGAAGAAATTTTTAATTTGGAAAAAGTTCTTAGAAAAATTGTTGGTCATTTAAATAACGGACATATATTTTTGGTAATTTGAAAGGTGAACATAAAGTTTAATCACTCAAAACCACGACACATATATTTGAACTTTTTCTGGAAAAATATTTGGCCGTTTAAATATTAACGAGAATATTTGCTAATTTGAAAAGTAATTCAGTTTTTCACTATTTGAAAACAGAACATAACATGTGTAGCCAAACTGGCAATAGAAAAATGTTTGTTCATTTAGAAACTAAACATTTTACTCCGCTCATTTAAAAGGTAAAAATATCTTTGTTTTGAAACTAAAATGAGTGTTTCAAAACTTGTCATCCATTCATGCTAATTTAAAAAGTGCATATAAATTTTAGTCACTCAAATGCCGGACAAAATTTTTTGTTTTTATAAAAACTAGATATAAATGTCTGGTATCGTGAAAATTTTTTGGACATAAATTTTAGTAAAAAAAAAAAAACTTTTTAATATTTTTAAAAGTGGACATAAATTAAATGTTTTAAATGTTATCCAAAAACGGAAGATAAATTTTTGTTCAACTAAAGTATAAATTTTTGGTATTTCAATAGGCGATGAAAGAAAAACTGAAATCAAATTTTCTGTCATTTGAAAAGTGGTGAAATGCAGCTGAATCTCTGATAATATTAAATTTGAGCATACACTTTTAGTACAACAAAAACTAGTTATATATTTAGTAGGTAGAATTATCCAGAAAATGCATACATTCCTTTTTCACTTAAACACTGGATATATGTATAATTGATGCCAAGTGAAAGTAATATTTTGTTTTTGGACGATGAATAAAAAGTATGAACCGTAAAAAGTAGACAACGACTCTTAAATTGTCAAAAGTCTGTTCAGTTTTTCTTGTTCAAAGCCTCACTCTTTGTACCCCCTCTTAAGCAGCTTTTTGTTTCTTAAAAGAAAAATGTTTTTTTTTTCATTATTTGACCCACCTCTAACGTTTTGAAATGCCATCGTATGTCTATCGTCGCTGCTGCGTCTGTATCATCGATGGCATTTGAGCGGCACAGTCGTAATGTTGGCCAGCATTGGCAGCGTTTATTGGTGATTTCGCAACCAGGCTCTATCACTATTGTCTCATCGTTTGTACAATTCGTATTGTATTTTCGGCTGTGATATGCGGCATGTAGGGAGAATGATGTTGAGGGTAGATCTGAAAGTATATAGAGGAAAAGAAAAAATAATAATAGTTTAAGTGCTACGTAATTTTTTGATTCAAGGATATCGGAAATACAAACAAAAATATAATTTGTGGGAAATGAATAATCTTTAATACTACTGATTTCTATCGGTGAAGTTGAACATCTATGTAGTGCTGCAGGATCGATAAGCCGCATAAAAAAAAAAAAACAAAATGCGCCGAGAACATCGTAATAGGAACAAAAGTTCGTTAGATATATTAAAAAACGGTCATTAGAGTCAAACATTTGCTCGATGAAGGTCAAGAGGGTCACCTACATATAAGTTGAAAATCGTATGACATGATATTTATCTTTATACATGTGTAGATTGCCATGAAATTGAGTGCTCAACTATGTACATCGCCACGAAGTCAAAAGAAGTATCGGATGACAAGATTGTGACGGGAAAAAAATGCAGAAAAGCCGGGATAAATCCCATGCATCATAGAACAGCTCGGATCACTCACAGCTAAGCTTAGAAGTGGAAAACATCTGTACAGCATAAGGAAAGGTTGTCAAAACATCTGATAACCCTTCACATGCACGTTAAACCCTACAATTATGACATCGGAGGCTTCCTCAGCTTTAAGGATTACTGAGTGACAGGACGTCTTTTACGCTGACGAGTTGACGCCCTTTGATTGAAGGTAAACGCATATCTCTCCGAATTTTATCATTTCTGCAGTGCAAGGAGCCTACCGCTTCCCCAACGACACCAACGATGCCCCCTCTACCACCTGGCTGAAGGAGGTCGAGCTTCAGTTTGGTCTAAGTTAAGGTCTAGTTATTGCTCTGACATCCCAAACATACATATGTCCGGCTTGTAAAGGTTCCCCCACGACACCAACGACCTCTTCCCTGTCCACGTAAACTCATTTGCTAACTTCTGCCCACAATCCCAAAATTCGTTTTCAAAGTGTTTTCGTTGTCGGTCAGAACAAGGCATTAGGAACGTTTCTTGTGAAGTAAGTTTTTGCTCTGTACCTCAGTAAGTTAAATATGTAGAGAAAACCAACTTTTATTGAAGTATCTCTCTAAAAAATGTATAAGCTAAATTCCATTAAACGTTACAAAAGTATTTAAGAAATATGTAGCATAGGTACTTAGCATTAAAAATTAACCCAGAGACTATGAAAATACTAAAACCCCAGAAGTTCCTGTTTACAAATTTTTAAAACATAATTTCAGCAACTCAAAGTGACATTTTTATTCAATTTCGTGCATGAAAGCGTGCTTAAAAAAAATGAAAAAGTTAAATAAAATACATGAAAAGACTCATTAAAGTCACTCAGGCTTAACTGAATTGCTTTGGGTACCCTCCTAGATAAGGATTAAAAAAAAAACATTAGCTATTTTTAAAATTTAATAAGCCAAGTGCTGCATAAAGCTAGTCAGCGGGTGCAACAGCACACACACACACACACACATGTACAAGCATTTATCTAACTATGATGATGATGTTACCTGCCATATAACATAGAAAGCGCGCGTATTTGCCGCATATGCCGTGTGGCAGGCAACATACTACCAACACAACCTTGACACACTTTTTCGCTGTCCCCAAGGTATACGCGAATAACAAATCTAGATTTAACTTTGTGTAATCGCTGCCGTTGCTTTTTTGGTTATTTTAATATTAGCACAAAATGTTGCTCGTCTTTTACAAGTAGTAAGCATAGTAGTAGTAGTACTAGTTGTAAAAGAGGTGCACCACTGCTAGTTGTTGTTCTTATTGTTGTGCTGCTAATTCCCTTTATGACCATTTTACATGGATGCTGTTGAAAATGCTTTTGGGCATCGCATAGTTATACTTATGTACATATATATGTACCTACATATACGTGAGCAAGTAGACAATGCATTTTATACAAAATGCAATTTCGCTGCAATTTTATCTGTCCGCTTGCGTTTTTATGTGAAAATGAGGGTCGTTGTGCCAGTTGGCTTATTATCTCTGCATGTAAATTTCACTTTATATAATCGCGAAATGCGTTTTTAAAATTTTGCCAAAATGCTATATTTCTCTATTGCTATGTCTTCACTACAAAGGAATTTTTATAATACATAATATGGCTTTAAAATGTTATCTTTAGTATAGTTGAAAAGAACTAGAACTCGAGGTCACACCATCGCTCACTTTCATTTAAGCAAATTAAAAGAATTTTTGTGAATGTTAATTTGATTCACTTCTACTCACTAAAACTTTAAAATTTGTTTTACAAAATTCTTAAAATGATGCCAGGCGCTAAATCTTGTTTACCGGAAATATCAAGAAAGAGGGCCGAAGCATTCCTATACCTTACTGGCACGAAGTAGGAATTGATGATGGTCTTCATGAAGCATATACAAGTTTGTTGTTGTGTTTTGTGGCGGCTACTCAAACCCGCCTAGCTCGGCTTGTCTATCAAACGTTGTCGTCGGGCGTAGCTAACGGAAGACCCAGCAAGTGCGCAACTTCCACGGATTCTGTCCATATGGACAAGGCCGTTAGCTGAGTGTGATTTTGGGGGCAAGCGAAGAGGTACCGTGATTAATGTGGCGAGTCTCCGCATGCTGGGAACTCGAGGGCATATCTATGTTCACTCTACTCAGGTAAGAGCTAAGCCCTCTGCAATATCCAGAGCGAAGTTGGGCTTTTGTGGTGCGAGTGTGCCGTGGCAGATGATGCTCTGTCCCATCCACGTGGGGTGGTTGTGTACCCAAAACGGATTTAGAGGTCGGGAGTCGATATAGATTGAGATTGACTCCCTGTGAATGCCGATTATGGCCTGTTGGTATGCTGCCGGGTTCAATGGTTGTTTTATGAACCTCTGGACTTCATCTGCCGGTTCGTATAGATGCCTCCTGACGTGTCCTGGCGAGGGACCCCTTTTAGAGTCAGAAAAGTCTCAGAACTCTGAGTTGTAACCCTCATTATGATCTCAAAGGAGAGTCAGAAAGGAACATATTTCCCTTTTTAGAAGTGTACGCTAATACGGGTCCAAATTATGAGTCATATTAGAGTCTGAAATGGGAAGCTTTTCTGAGACTTGTGGACAAATCTATACTAACATAACACGCTCCGATATCTCCTCCTCATCAAGACGAAGATCGCTAATCATCTCTGTAGAGAGGCCAATACGTTGCATGTGAGAACGCAGGAAGCTATTATAGGTTAGATAACTAGTAAGCAACTAGATATTGATTATATTCAAAAGATTTATGTCTTTCTTACCAAAAGAATATTAAAAAATCCTAGCTTGTCTATAGCCATATACCGCTTCCAAGTCTTACAGGAACAGATTATGAGCTTTTCCTAGGTGAACTTGCGACCTCGTTCCCACTATAATGTAAAAATAATCTCTTAGTTTGTGGAACTTTGCCCTCAACCCCATCGTGGATGGACGGGAAAGGATAAGTTGCCTCTGCTGGCGATGCAATGTAAGGTTAGGTTGGGCGGCAGTCCTAAGTACAACTCATTTAGACTCAGGGTCTTTTGTGATATCGCATGAGGTTTTTCATTATCACCGTACTCTTGTAAACCACTTGGTTCTTAGCAAAAACGTGCTTAGGCTTCAAATGTTCGCCGCTTTGCGATAATCGAGATCGTTTATCAGCATGCCTTAAAACTCCCTGAGTAACTGAATTTTTTTTTCATCTCTTCACAAAAGCGCTTAGAGCTTTTGTAAATTATAGTTCATTGTTTCCATTTTATTGCCTAAATTTCCCTTAAGCGCACTAAAGCACAGCGCTATGCATTTCTGCGCAATCACCAAAAAAAAAGGCAAAGCAAAAGTACAGAATAGCTGAGATAGGAATAAGCGGTGACCCGAAAATGTAACAAAAGTGCGCAAAAACAGAAACATTCTGAAATAGTGATAATAAGGAAAATACGTATAGAAAGGATACTTTAGGAAAAATGCGTATAATAGAGAAAAATGCTGTGGACAGTCCCAGAGCGAATATTACATCTAAGCACTCTACAACTAAGCCTTCTTTAAGTTTGAATGAAGTTTTATAGCTTGGCTCGAAAAAAATACCAAAATTCTAAGTTAAGGATAACAAAAGTGAATAACACTCGCCAATGGAGTTATTTGTGTTCATGCATACGGGTATGTGGGCTACTCAATAACATATGCATGGTACCTATAAATGAACAAACGTCCGCACACATGCACAGACATAATGCCGTTTAAAATTGTCAACGTTTATAGATATGGGAAACTAAATAATAACAATGAGAGGTGAACATATGACCACTACTGGAAAAAAGGGACAAAACAATTTAGTTGAATGATGCGCTGCGCAGAAAGGCTGCTTTTATTTGGAAATGTAAAAATAAATAAACAAAAGACAAAAAGAAAAAGAAAGCGTAATTTATTTGATAGAAAGAGTTGGGTTGGCTGAAAACGGCGATGATGGGCGCTTATATTCTTTTGGTTAAAAAAAGAATGAGCGTCTCGAATGCTGCTGGCATTCGAAAAATATTGCATACTTGTGGGCGTTTTGGACAGTTTTGAGCGAACCCAGACAATTTGATTTTAAGTGATGCATTGGGCGTATCGTTAGCCGATTTAAACGGTTGTGGCTGGGTGGTTTATGCTTGAGGGCACATATGTTTTATAGCGAATGAGACCGCAAGAGCATATGGAGAGCTTGAGCGTATGAACACATATGTATGTACATTGTACATATATACATAGACATTTCGGGAAAAAAATGAACAAACCAGAGGAGAAGCAATTACATATAGTTGGAAAAAGGAATGGAAAATGAAATTAAATACAAAAAATGGGGATAAACATAACTGTGTAGGATTAAATTTATTTATGTGAATTTTGAGGCTGCCTTTTATACATACTCGTGCATACACTGTCGCAAGTGCAGACAATTTGTGCAGTAAAAATATTTAATAAATAAATAATATAAAAAAAAAACTTTTTAATATACAACGCTTTTATAAATGGACTAAAAAGTAGAAAATAATATTTCT